TGCCCGAGCCAACGGGCTCGGATTTACCCACGTTAAATTTGGCCTTGTGCAGCATCCTACCTAGTGGGGAGGCAGGTAAATGTCGTAATATGCTGTCTAAGTGATCCACCACTAGCAGTGGTTTACCTACTTCAAGCCGCTGGCGAGTATTGTATTTTGTTGATGTTATAAAGATTACTATTTCATTTCCAACCTCCGTTTTGGTTATTCCTCATTCAGTAACATTTTTCAGATTACAACACTATGTAGAATTGATAACGACTGGCCCTAGACGTGAAGAGGTTAAGATCGTAGTGAAAAGGGAGGCATCCCCTCTGGACTAGTGGTTCACGAGAAGACGCTATCTGAATAGAACTTTCTTCTTATAAATGGAATAGGAACGGGATGAAGATGATTCAGCTCTGTGTATGTGTTACGGTTTTTTTGTGTATATATGTATGTAACTAGTGAGCGAGTCAAAATGACTTAATTCCCTTTATAGCCGACCAATAGAAGGTTGACCAATCAGAAGCCGCTCAACACTGTATCCGTCGTGTATAAAGGCGGCCATCTTTGTTTTCCCACCGGAAGGACCAGAGGCAACTTGACCGGCGAACATGACAGACGGAAGAACTACGCTCTGCTACTTTGCTGCGATATCCACTGCGAACCTGCACTACGCTTTCCTACTGTCTCCGAAATATTCACTGCCAACCTCTGGATTCTATACTCGAGGACGACCGCCATGAAAATGTCTAACAGTATGCAGTATGGCGGGCCTCCGATGTAAATGTGAATAAACAATCTCATCGGATTTATTCGAACATTACAACGATGCTATCCTAAGAGATCTGGCGACCCAAACGTTTCTTGATTAATAGTGAGGACAATTTTAACAATATAATATACTGTGGCAGACACCGAAGGAAAAGAACAGGAATTCCTAGACAAAGTAGTGAAGGGTAGTTAGAAGAAAATACTAACTATCAATTGTAGTTGTTAGCTAGAGAAAAAGCCCAAGATACCAACTACCAATTGGAGATGGGTTGTAATGTTGTCTTCGTTCAAAATACCTGGAAATTTGAAAGGCCGTAGTTAGAGAGAGCATCGAAGGAACGGAAGACTAGGTAGAGGAAAGAAAGAGGAAGAGGTTTATTAATTACTGATACATAAAAAAAAACTTGATTAAATCAAATACTTCTCAAATCCTCTTCTAATGTGGCTACTTGTCATATATATAAGTAGACACAGTCCATTGTAACAGTAGTAGGGAGGAGCAGGAAGCACGCTGTGTCCTATTGTACAACAAGATGTCAAAACCAAACAAGTACAGAAGTTCAATACCTGGAATGTCATTTAATAAAGGATGGAAAATGTGATACCAAATCCAAAAGCGCATTAGATTAGCTAAAAGATGTCTCTCAAAAGCTAAGGAAAGTACTAAAAAACAAGAAAAATTCGTTAGAAGCAAAGAAAAGAGTGCAATATCGATTCTTCAAAGGATACAAATTTGTGGAAGTCATCACACCCGCGTCCTGAAGGAGCAGAGCAAGAAGAAGAAGAAGAAGAAGAAGAAGAAGAAGAAAAAAGAAGAAGAAGAAGAAGAAGAAGAAGAAGAAGAAGTTCATATTAGTATTTACAACAACTTTGGCGTAAGAAGATTGCATGGTACGTACTCTCCAAGTGTGTCCTTCCTATAAGCATTATTGGAAATATTTCCTGAGTTCGAACACCTATCCACAGTGTATCTGGCTTTTTTCGTCGAGGGCGACGGTCGGCAGCGGACAATAAATTATCTTGAAACACAGCGCCAAAACAACCAATGCCGGTGGGAAATATACTGATATTGATATATATATATATATATATATATATATATATATATATATATATATATATATATATATATCCATCCCATGAACTATTATATATCCCATAGACACAATTCGACTATCTTTTATCAAAAAACTATCAAAATCGACTTTTAAAAAATGATTATCTCACGTTTAATGACCATTATATCGGATTCGGAAGGATATTAATTCTTTTTCTTTTGTTCTTACCTATGTTTTCTGTAGAACGTTTAAAAAAACTTTTTTTGTCAGTCTCAGTGTCTGTCTTTTAAATGTGGATTATTAATTCACTTCAACCGGTGTCTGACCCCCATCAGTAGGCAGCCGAGAGTAGCTGGGTGTTCTGTCTGCGAAGATCACAGAAGAACTGAATGTTGTCGTTTAAGCAAAGAAGGCCAAAATGGCGGCGTTCATACGAGAGAAAGAAAAAAAAAACTTAATAGATATTTCTGAGTGCAACTTAACCGGTCGTAAACACTGAGGCCTAATCACAGATAGATTATTAGTCACGGAAAAGATGGAGATGAATTTTAAGTAACCAGTAATTTAGGTTGGAAAAATAAGTTGGAAAATAGTTTTGCAACAATGTTTATCTATTAATTTTTGTATATATAAGCCATTGTATATACATATATATATATATATATATATATATATGTGTGTGTGTGTGTGTGTGTGTGTCTGACGATCGCAGGGCGTGAAACTCAGGGTTACAAACTCATATCAATACAACTAAGTATGTTAGCTCTATCACTGATATTGAGCGCTTTCCAGTAAGTGCCGCACATATACAATATATAAATAATATATATAGAAATTACCTACACACACACACACACACACACACATATATATATATATATATATATATATATATATATATATATATATATATATATATTAGTACTAATCTTATAAATATAAGAAATTATACTCGTCCAGAAAATCTTGGGTACTTTGATATGTAAATGAACCGACCAATAACCAAGGGGTAAAAAAAAAAAGTTACAATAAAAGAAAGAACAGAGAACATGTACGTCAGCCGAAGACAATCGTCTAGCATCCGAGTCCAGAGTCCAAAGAACAAATCCCCGATACGAATAAGTAAATTAACGAAGTAACGTGCACAATACGCTAAGTAGAGCAAATCATATATGAATATATGATTAATGTATATTTGGAAAGTAGCCTTTCTTATAAACATCTTTCGATAATATGATAGACAAGGAAAATTTATTAATTTTTAATTATTTTTTTCCGGCGTTCTTACTTTTTTCTAGTTGGTGTGAGTGTGTGAGTACAGGAACTTTGAATTGTCCCAAGAGGTTTCGGCCACTTCTTTAGCCATTTTCAAGCGAGGTGATTTTAGTTTAGTTAGTTTATTTTCATGTTTTGACTGTGTGAAAATATTGTTTGTGAATTATACTAGCAACAATTCGGAGTCGTCGTGTATTGGGTATGGCTGGAATTTGAGTAGGTGGCTCTATATTTCCAAAAGATTTTCATCACTCCGTTACCATAGTTAAACAAGGTAAGGTTGAGGATGCGGGAGAGCTGTTTGATGCAGAATGCAGCTCTTATAACGAAGTATTTTCTGAAATTTGATTTACAAATCACTCTAATTTTATCGACTAATATCATTCTTAAGGGCTCTTGTAGATTATGTGTTCATAAGTGCTTTTTTTTCAGAGAGATCTGCTCTCTAAGTGACATGTAAGACATCTACTCAAGGAGGTGGTGGTATGCCCGTAATAAGTAATTGTTTTATGACAAGAAACACAGTCTTGAACTGGACAGTGAAATTGATACACTATTTTTGTGATGTCAACGAACACTCGTTTGACACGTTTTCCAACAAATACTCGTTGTCACTTTCGTAATGCTTGTTGTAGTAGAGACTTTGTAATCGCAGATACAACTATAGTACGCCGTTGAACAATACTAGTGTCAGGCGTCTTCCAATAACAGTCGCACTAATAGTACTTGTTTGATAATACTCGCACGTACAGTAATCCGTAGATTGATCCTAATAGAGAAATAGTAATAGTATAGAGATTAGTGATCCGTATAGTAATAGAGGATAGAATAGAAATAGCGATCCGAATATTAATAAAGGATAGACTCGAACTGCAGATCAATCTAGACGTCATTTAAAAAAAAATTAAAAAAAGAAGCTCTTGTGTAAGCCTCTTTAAGGATATTGGTAACTTTTTAAAAAAATTTACTAAGAGTTTGTTTTTGTTTTCCATGTCAACAATATTGTTAAATTTCCCATAATAATCCTGAAAATAAGATAAGAGATGATAAATAAAAGCGAAATGCTGTCTTATCTTCAGAATTATTCTTGCCTTGATAAAGTCAAATGAAGAAACACGTCGGCAAGGACAATATTTAACAATTGGTTTTGACATGTTGTTGGAGAGTAGGACTCAGCGTACTTCCTGCTCTTCCCTACTACTGCGACAATGACTACTTATAAATATGGCAAGTAGCAACATTAGAGAAGGATTTGAGTAGTATTTGATTTACTCAGATTATTCCATCTAATATTGTATTTAATAAATCTTTTCTTCTCTGTTTCCTCTAATAAGTCTTCTATTTATTCGATACTCTCTTTAACTACGGCCTTCCTACATCTCGGCTATTTTGAACAAAGACAGCATTACAATATATCTCCAATTCATAGTTATATATTGGGCCTTTTCTCTAGTTAACAACTACAATTGATGGTTAGTCCTTTCTTCTCGCTTTCCTTCATTACTTTTTCGTCTTTTGTTAAAACATTTTCCAGATATTTAAATTTTAGGACTTGTTTGATTTTGTTATCCCCACTTTGTGATTTCAATATATTTCTGTAGGAAATTCTTATTTTATTAAACAACTATATGCTTAACCAAATCTAAACGATGTCCTCTAGCAGAGCATTGATTCACTAGCTATCATTTCAATGGGGGCTTTACTTGGTGTCCATTAATCTTAGCCTTGTGCCAGAGTAAGGTATGCTTAGTAGAAAGAGCTGTACCCCATGGGAGAATGGATAGCGAGATCATCCTGAAACTTATCACCATTGTGTAATCGCTTCGATTCTCATTATTTGTACTCAGTTTTCAGCCTCGTGCCAGACAATTAAAAGCATAATAACTGAGCATTATTTAAAGATTGTGAAAGATGTCTGGCGTCGAGTCAAGGAAAGACGTACAAAATTTACTGAAAAAATATCTTCAAATTTACAATGTCGGGAGGAAAATAAGAAAAAAGGAAGCCAAGAAAAAATACGAAAAACAAAAGAACGAATAAATTGATGGCAAGGATTAGAATCTTTGATTATGTTCCTATCACTGATTTAAAATGATTTTTTTTAATCTAGAGGAATCTATATCGATTAAAATCTATGTATGTTAGCTATGTTTGTGTCTTGTTTTCTGCTTCATCTCATCTTAAACACCAACCTGAATTTTCGCCTATCGTGATGAACGGGTGTTTTCTCAAGGAGGTCTTGTGCCTAGAGCACCTGCGAGGGTGGGATTAATAGTTCATCGGATGTCTATAAAGGGGTGATGCTAGAGCTGTGAAATCTTGCATGCATTAATTTCATCTATCTCTCTCTATAAAAAGCAGGATATGTGTGTGTGTGTGTGTGTGTGTGTAACGAATGCACGGCCGCCATTTTCGACGGATTTGCATCAAAATTTACATGCACATGCTCCAAGTTAGCGGAAAGTCCAAGACTCACTTTGCATTTCCCAACTCCCATCGATAGTGGAAATAATCGATTTTTTCATGCTTCTACGGCAGTTTTCATGTAGTTTGCGGCCATTTTCTACTGGCCAGGTTGAGAGCTGGCTGTCACGAAGAGTCAGGAAGATTCTATTGTCCAGCGTGAGAGCCAACAGCTGACTGACACGAATGTTAACTAGCATGCTAGCATGCAAAAAAAAAAAAAAAAAAAATAAAATCGATAGCTGCATTCGTCACAAGTGGGAAAAATTTAAATCTTCATGGCACTTTACTCCAATTGGCTCATTTGCTTACTTAAACTCAACGCTGATTCTGATTCCGCAGAACTGGGTTGGGTGTGAAAAAGTATTTGTTGTTAACATTCTTTTTTCATTCGGTTTTTCTAGTTACGAGTCCTTTATTAAAGCTGGTCGTTTTGTGTTCATTTTGTTTAGTTCTTTTTTTCGTAACAGATTTAATGTTTAGTATAGAGCTTAGAAAAAATTCGCAGTGTGAGATAGGCAAGAAGTAAGGCATGTAGCAACATCAGCACGGCAAAGGGCACTCCTTTAAAGGCAAAGAAGGGCAAAAATATTTTAAGTCAAGTGATAGCGATTGCTGAATGAGTTGTACGATTTTTGAATCAATCAGGGGGCAACGCCGGACCATGCTGCTAGTTCTTATTAATAACTGCATTGCTTCATTCCGGGTAAGAGTTTGGTCTGAAAAGTTCATAGGCTGGTTACAAAAGAAGGATGCTAGAGCTGTGACACCTTGCATTCATTAATTTCAACTCTTCTTATCAATAACTGCATTGTTTCTTTCCATTATACGAGGGTGGGTAGAAAAGTTCATAGGCTGACTATGGAGGATTGATGCTACAGCTGTAAAATCGTGCATGCATTAATTTCAACATTTCTTATTGATAATTGCATTGTTTCTTTCCACCTAAGCTGATATCTGTCTGTTCAAAGAAAATTTAAAAAGTTACATGCAGCGTCTTCCCTTGAAAATTCTCAAAATTTGGCATCGTGATGTTCTCAAGTACCCGCAGAAAAACAGGTTTTATCCCCACCAAGTACATTAATGCCGACATGATTGTTACAGTCAGGGATAACGCCCCAATTGTATCAACAGTGAAAAAGTGGCCAGCTGAAATTAGGAGGGGAATTGAAAGTCGTGAAGATGACCCAAGTTCTGGACGTCTTGTAACTTCCACCACTGAGGAAAACATAGATCGTGTTCACCACATATGATGGATGACAGGCGATTGACTATAAATCAAATAGTCAATGCTATTAGCATATTCTATGAGATAGCTGAGAATATTCTGCACAATGAACTTGACATGACGAAGGTTTCTATTCGATGGTTATCACGTCTTCTAACACATAATCAAAAGTGCCCCGGGCTGATAACACCACGGAAAAAATCTGACATTGTCTGAGGCAGACGCAGCTGGTTTCGTTGAATGTTTCCTAATCAAGGGTGAGTCTTGGATTCATCACTTTCAACCAGAGACAGTCGATGCAGTGAAAACACCCCTCCTCACCTGCTCCAAAGAAGGCTAAGGGCCTTTCATCTACAGGGAAGATGATGGTCTGAGCTTTTTGGAAAGCAAAAGACATTGTGTTTATTAACTATCTTCAAAAAGTCAAGATCATTAATGGAGATGCCGACTTAATGAAGCATTTACGAAAGGTTGTCAACAGCAAATGTCATGGAAAATCGACGAAAGTGGTTTTGTTTCATCGGGACATTGCTCCAGCCTACAACCCCTTTGTTTTAATGGCTTCTCTGCATGACAGTGGCTTTGAACTGGTTGGTCTCCTTTATGTGCTGTGTGACCTCAGGACGTAGGTGATAATGGCTCTCCACAATTTCCTGTCCTTTAGAAGTTATTAGGTTGGGTGCAAAATAATGACGTATTAATGTCGTTTTTGACGTTAAAAATACGTCACAAAACGACATTATTACGTCATTATTTTGCACCAACCTAATAATATATTTTGTCTTTTTGTTATTTCTTCTAAACCTTATTCCGCCATTCATTTACTCAAACTCATTAAGTATGTTATAGTTGTTTTTCCTTTATTCCACTTGCCTTCAATCTGACTTGTGAGTATTAGATTTTCCAAGCCTCTCTTTTATATATATATATATATATATATATATATATATATATATATATATATATATATATATATATATATGTGTATATCAAGTATGTATAAAGTATGTATTGGTTAATATTTGTCACTTTTTCCCATCTGTTTATATCTATCTATCTAATCTCAGTCTATTTCTGTCTATCTATCTAATCTCAGTCTATTTCTGTCTATCTATCTATCTATCTATCTATCTCTTTCTGTTAATGTAACTCTTTCTATCTTTATCTGTGTCGTTTTACCTCTCTGTCCATGCCCGGAACCAGTTCTACAGAAGAGAATCCGTATATTAAACCGAATTTACCGTTTGAATTAAGGCGAAAACTGTAACGAAGACAATCAAGTGCGACAATAATGACAATAGGAATAAACATACGAATGAATCAATCAAACAATTTCATCAAAGGTTAGAATTAATCAACGGAAAAAGGCCATTTTTCGTAAATTCGCAAAAAAAAAAAAAAAAAAAAAAAATTTTATTCGTTTGCTTAATATTATTTTATTTTATTTTGTTATAATTCGTTTCAAGAATCCAGTGAAACAAATAACAAAGATACGAGACAAAAAAATCATTTCCCATTAGACGAGATGACAACCGACCGTTTCGTACGCGGTAAACCATATTCGATAATGAATTGGAGGAAAGAAATTATCAATAAAAGACATTCAAGTCTTTTTTGATTTTCTTTTAAATCTTTTCACATGAGATCTAGGGGAAAATTTTAGAGTAAAGAATTTCAGGATAGATGACTGACTGAGAATGAACTGAGACAGAAAGAAAGATAGATAGATAGATAGATAGATAGTGAGACAGAGATACAGACAGACAGGTAGAGAGATAGACAGACAGACAGATAAATGCATAAATTGACAGATAGATACATATAAACATATTTGAGAAAGACAGATGAATACAAACACATACGAACGCGCGCACACACACACATATATATATATATACATATTTATATACATACATATATATATATATCTATATCTATCTATCTATATATATATAGATAGATAGATAATATTAGTGGTAAATATACACATACATATGCAAAATATATAAATATATATACATAGATGCATACACATACATCTATATTTTTTGAATAAAAAATTCCAAGAGGATAGAATCTAGGTAGAGCTCAATGTCCAGGACAGAGTAAGGATATAATAAAAAGGCTTAAACACTAATATTCCATGGTCATAATTTATTCCATTGGAATCGTAAATACGATCCAATTCATCAGACCTACAAATTCAAAAAGAAAGCAGAAAAAACAACTACGGAAATAAAAATAGAATTTAGAGAAATTTAGAAAACAGGGGTGAGTTGAAGACGGTTTAAGTGAGAGAAATTTCTCTCACTTAAACCGTCTTCAACTCACCTCTCTAAAACTTCTCTGTTAAGTGTTAATCTCCCACCTTTTCTCTTCTGTTACCCCTCTCTTTAACTCTAAAATTCGTCCCACACTCTCATACTTACACTCTCTCAAAAAACAAAAAAACAAAAAAAAAAAAAAAAACATTTTGGACTATTCAGCCAGAAAGAGAACAGGTTGAGATCATTTTATATCAGACCCACTGTCTTCCCAAATGAGCAATGGTGTGAGGAAAAAGATAATTTAGGCCCTCGGGAACGGTACCAATATTCATACTACAGCTTCCATCTTCAAAGTACATTCAAGAACCATCAAGAAAACGGTGAATCAATAGAAAATTGTGTCCGGAGGTAACAAAAGGAAGAGGGGTCATCATTTCAACTTAGAGCTAAAAAGATCAATTAGAAAAGATCCAACTCAATCCATAAGACGTTTGGCACGTAAGAGAGGAGTTTAAGTTATGACAGTACAAAGAACAGTAAAAAAAAACTTCAAAATGAAATCGTACGTGAAACATGTGAGGCACTTTATTACTCTAAGACAGAGAGCTGGAAGGTTAGAGAGGGCGAAGATCATTTTGAATAAATTGAAAAATAACCTGGAATATATATATATATATATATATATATATATATATATATATATATAAAAAGAAAAAACAGACCACTTTAAGTTTCCGTTATAATAATTTATTTCACAGAGCCCTTTTAAAAGGACGCCGGATCATCAACTAGCACTCCCAAAAGATGCAACGATTCATTCGTTTCATCTTTTGGGAGTGCTAGCTGATTATCCGGCGTCCTTTAAAAGGGCTCTGGTGAAATAAATTATTATAACGGAACCTTAAAGTGGTCTGTTTTTCTTTAAAATATTAGCTCTGGATTTACATTGAGCTCTCAGGATTTCCTACTTCTTGTGACTACCCATACCAAGTTTTTCATAACTTAACTATATATATATATATATATATATATATATATATATATATATGTGTGTGTGTGTGTGTGTGTGTGTGTGTGTGTGTGTGTGTGTGTTATGGTAATTTAACCAAGCACGCATGCACATTCCCAGTTATAAATAGGAGGACGTACTGCCTTCTGGAGGGTGACGTTTCCATCATTCGGCTTTGACAGTCGGACCGAACATTCTTACTGTAACACTCGTTTGTATATGTTTGTATTACTGTTTCTGTTAATATATTTGTTTAACTCAATTCCTCTCTTGTGTCTTTATTTCTGGCCCTAACAAGGCCGCAACAACTTGACGACGAGGACCTTAAGGACCTTTGAAGACCCCAAAGGACTATGTGGAAATTGTCAATATTGGTTGTAGCCAACAGTACTTGGCAATCCAGAAAAGGAAACCGAACGGAAAAAAAGTGTAACTAACTTACACAGAACTTTCGAAGAATCCATGTCTCTCAGAGAAAAATGGCACTCGTGATGAGGACACTTGAGAACCCCAAAAAGGACTACATGGAAATTGTCAATATGGGTTCTACTCAACAAGGTCACAACAATATATATGAATTTATTTTAATACTTCATGAGCTTCCGATCCTTAGCTATGATTAATTAATGATGAACATGTCATTTTCGTTTATGATCGATTTCTTTACGATTCTTCTGTTAAGCTTAGAGAGCAATTATACATTCTTATTGCTCAAACTAGAGTCCAATAGTGTTATAAAAAATTCCAGGAAGAAATCTTTAACCATATGTAGGGTACAAGTTTAATGTAACAAAAGAACAATTTTGCTTTTATATGATTTAGTCAATTTTGCTGTTACACTTGTTGTATATGTGTTATGGAGTGATTTCACAGTGGAGGCTTGTATTTGTACTAAGTGGGCCCTAAAAAAGGTTCGACGTACAAAACGTTAGGAACTTCATATAATAGGTATAACGCGGAGAAATCTAGTTATGGTCGCTGATACTTTAGTATTCGACTAACGGTCGTCCGACATCGACTGACGACCCGAAGATATTCAGTCACCCACCCCCACGAGGGCGTCATGTGGCAGAAGGCCTTTTTAACGTGGGATCTCCGAGCCTGTGGGCTCGGCCAAAAATATGCCCATTGAATTCGTATAAGCGGGTTCAGGGTCGCTTTACCTCCCCGAAAGAGAATCCGCCCTTCGGCTTAGCCTCCTCCGGGTTCCTCCCGCCCGAAGGCAGAGAGTTCAACCGATCAGTCAGTCGACTGACTGACCGAGGTATTTACCCGACTCCCACAGGGTCAGGATGTGACACAAGGTCGGTTTAACGTGGGAGACCCGAGTGTTTCCACTCAAAGGGCCAAAAGGTCCAAAACTGGTCTTAGCATGTCCAAGCTGGTCAGAGCCTAGTCAACGCTGGTCATGGCTTGTCTTAGCTAGTCCAGGCCGAAGCCAGTCCAAACTAGTCGTAGCCGTGATCGAATCTCAGCCAAAGGCCGAGAAACGATCCTTCGACTGACTGACCGAACCACTGAGCGGCTTCTACTACTCCTACTTATTATAGGTGGGAGAGTCTATTAACTATAGAATAGGGGTGTTCCACTATAACAATATGTGTGTGTGAACAGATTGAGATAGATGGAATGGAACCGACTAAGACTGATAGTTATGCATAGAAACACATAGACTGGTGGTAACAAAATGGAGTCAAATTTTAAGGCTATGCAGATTCACGTGAATTCAGATCTATGCGGTAACGAAACAGTTATCTGTATGAACATCAACTGGCTCTCTTCTAGCAGCTGATAATACAAGCACCTTGACCGTTCTGCGAGACAGACTACTCCTACCTTGGAAGGAACAGTTTTTCACCCTCCTGAATAGAAACCACGATCACAGTTGAAAAATTCCTGAGAAACGTCTCAAATCATGCTCGTCAGCTATAAATGAATACGAGTCATACTTTTCAAGAATTCAAGAAAGTTATGATGCAAAACAAACCAAGGAAATTCCTAGGCTCAGACAATATCCATATCGATCTGATCAAAGGACTTTGATAGCGGTCCAAGAGCTGCTATGTGGAAAGTTCTTCATCGTTTTGAATCTCCCGACTATTTTAGCTCTCTGGTTCAAGCAACGCATAACAATATGTCTGAACGCCTATTCCACCAAAACATTCTTTGAGAAGAATTTCCAAGGATGCATCTTGGTAGCTATGTCATTCTCCTTCGATTTGGTTGCAATGCTTCACACACTTTCTTCAAACAATCCAGGAGTTGATATCAATATGATGAATGACTTTTCAATTTTAGTAGCTTCGATCTAAACGTCTAACTCACTCACAACAACTCTCAGAATTTCAATATACTGATGACAACACTGCCCTCTGTCATTAAAAAGACGAACTCCAACAGTCTGTGAATAACTTTGCTATGGCCTACCATTGTTTTGGCCTTATAGTAATTATCAATAAAACCAAGGTCTTTGAACAGGTAGCCCCAAATACCATTTTACCAGATTCTGATTTTAACATCTGTGATAGACTCCAAGTAGAGCATGTTTCATATCTAGGCAGCCTTTTACCAAATAAGTACACCTCAGAAAAGGATGTGGAACACAGAATTGGAGCTGCATATGAGACCCTTGAAAAGTTAATCAAATGCATCTTCAACAACAAAGATCTGAACTTAACAACAAAAATTATGATCTATAATGCTGTTGTAATTTTTATCTTTGCTATATGGTTGCGAAATCTGAACTCTATATTGTGGTGATGTCCAAAAATTAGAATGCTTTCACCTGCAAAAGTTTTGTTCAATCTTGAATATCAAATGGAACTACTATGACCAACACCAAAGTCCTGGAAAGAGCCAACAGTCAAAGCATTGAATCACTGATCATTAAACTGTCTTTGATGGTCAGGACATCTAGCAAGAATGGAAGAGTCAAGGTTTCCACA